ATACGAATTTCGTGGATCACGGCATCTGTAGTTACTAATGTATGATCTAAAGAACCAATGATTGGGGAAGAAGTTAAGTATGCGCCAAAAAGAGATGACAAGAGTGAGACGCGCAATCGCTTTCAATGTTCAACGTGGCCTGCAAAGTGAGAATAGCGCAACCGCGTCTCACCATGGTCAAATGCGTTAGGCTGGTGTCAGAATCCGCGATCCGTCGCAGGTTTCGCGATTTTCGCGATTTTCACGCGACGGGTCACGGAAATCACAAGTGCCCGATCAATACTGCAAGGTGTTCTCCAATCCTGCCGCCACTTCTGCTTGATAGTGATGGCTGAATGACGACTGCTCATGATTCCACTTGTTTACCCCCCCCCCCCTCCCCCCCCCCCCCCCCCCCCCCCCCTCATAATCAATGTTCAAATCTTAAGCACTTGCCATTTTTTTGCAATCCATCGCAGGGTTTCGCGCAAATCGCGTGAATTGCGCAAATCGCGAAAATCAGCGAAACCTGCGACGGATCGGGGACTCTGACACCAGCCTTAAAAAGCACACCTGAACCTGCTAACAAATCCTTTTACTGGCACAACCCATGTGCTCCCGCCTACTCAGCCAGGTTCACAAAGAGTGCTGATTGTCGGTCACACCAGTCCAGACAAAATTACACTACCCGTCCAGTTTTTTAGACTAATGTTGCAGCTATTCACAATGCTATTTTCTAGAATTGTGACTTGCCACAATAACAAAATTGTTCTGCCTTCTGTGCACCATGAGCAAATCATGGTCAATAGTTGAGCCCATCTTTAAAGATCACCTCGTGAATTGGATCGACACACCAACAGGTCATTCTGCAAAAAAAACTGCTTCTGTTGACAAAGTATTACCATTGAAGTTAGTTTGAGAGGAATTGAAAGTTAGTGAATTAACTGAAAATAAACTTAAAATTTTGGGTGCTAACTTAGTTGGGGGGGGGGGGGGCACGCGGCGGCGCGGCAGTCTGCTCGCCTGGCATGTTCGGAAATCCGTGGGCCAGGGGGAGTGTAGCCAGCCTAGGGGGGGTGGGGGCAGTCACTTGACATGCGTGAAAAGCTGGAATGTTCGAGTTTACACTGTCTCGCTCGAGAGAGCCCAGGTGAGCAGACTGCCGCGCCGCCGCGTGCCCCCCCCCCCCAACTAAGTTAGCACCCAAATTTGTTCACAAGTACAAAAGTGGCGCACTGTGACCCTATCTTCATTCAGAGCTGTGCTCTGAGTTAGGAGCTTCCTTAGGCCGATGTCAGACTTTGCGAATCGCGCGATTCGCTAGCGTCTGCGGTCGCGTCGCGGCCAGTGAATCACTCAATTGGCTGGTACCGCAACGCGACCGCGACGCTACTAGCGAATCGCGCGAATCGCTAGTAGCGAATCGCGCGATTCGCAAAGTCTGACATCGGCCTTAGTTCGCCTTATGAGTAGCACTTATATTGCCGCATTTCTTTTGCTCAGCCACTTTAGTGTTACTTTGTTGTATTCATATTAGATGTTGATCAGCTTTATTTGCCTTGGGAAAGATAAGTCATACGTATTCACTAGCTACCTAATTTCCGAATAAAGTATTGCTTGACTCAAAACCACAATCCCGAATGCCACTGGTATCTTACATCTTTGTTACTAACATCCAAACCATGAGAGACAGGAAAAGCATTGACGATTATACTGATGGACGTATTTAGAATGGCCTACGCCATGAGGTTGAGCGATCGATCACAAACAATTATGTATCACGTTTCTAAGATGAAAAGAAAAAATGTTGGCAGAAAGAAGGTTCTAGTAGGTTCAGTTTCATATATCTAAGTCTGATTAGGGGTAATTATGGATTTACGTGGCGGCGGCCGCGTTTACAGAAATTGCGCGGATAAACTACTTCCAGCATGTTTTGCTGATCTTTAGCGGAGAGTTTTAAAAAATAGGGCGCAATGTGGCTCGGGGGGGGGGGGCAGTCGCCGCGCGCGGCTCAGCGAGTAGTGTAACTCGAACATTCCAGCTTCTCACGCATGTCAAGTGACTGCCCTCACCCCCAACCCCCTGAATTGGCTACATTCCCCCTGGCTCACGAATTTCCTGTTGCCGCAACGCCGCGCGCGGCGACTGCCCCCCCCCCCCCCCCCCCCCGACCCACATTACGCCAAAAATAGCTCTTCAACACGACTTATATCAAGTGCGGCTAGGCCACACCAAATCCACAGACACGCCCAAACAGACGGCGAGATGTGGAATGTACCCTTTGCACCCGAGGACTAGCGATGTCTGCACTACAGACTCCACAACAAAACGTCCATCTGATAAATCTTAGTTTGTACTGTTACCTGATAGCTAATGAACGAAATAAATACAACCGCAACGGTTCATCATTTCGTTGGCAAAAACGGCACTATTCCAAAATCTCAAATTTTATGTGTAGTCGGAATTTCGTATGTAGAGGTAATTCGATGCCCTGATTACGAAAATGACATTCATTTTCAACGTGGCGCCACGTTGGCGTCACCTTGTCACGACACTTGTTTTCACCAAATTCGGTGTAAACTTCTGTATAGGGGTTATTTGGTGTCCTGATTACGAATATGACATTCGTTTTTGACATTAGCGCTGTTTAACGCATACTTCCGCTTTTCTGGGCTCTCTCACCTATACGTAATTCCTTAGACTAAGCTTAGGGGTAGAAGAGGGGGACTCCGGAGGGGGTCAACCGTGCACCCTGGGGCAAAAACTAGAGCGCATTGAATCATGAGGCGGATTCGTCATCTTGGAGCCGTCCTCTCCCCAAATGAGGTTTTTGTTCACGACTTAACCAGTGAGAGTGCGCAGAGGCCGGACGCATAGTCGGTCGGACGACAGCAACGACTGCAAGTGTCGCACAGCATTGGGTGCGTATCGATCTGCGACACCTGCGACACTTACGACCGCTGCTGTCGGACGACAGCAACGACCGCAAGTGTCGCATAAACCGCGGTTGCAAATGGAAGGCGACGCGGTAAGTGTCGTAGATCAATACGCAGCTACTATTCCACACTACAGTGGGACTTTCGAAATACGATCACGCGCAGTCACGTGTTGTCTGGGTTAGCATTGGGTGACCGCGTCGCCTTCCATTTGCAACCGCGGTTTATGCGACACTTGCGGTCGTTGCTGTCGTCCGACCGACTATGCGTCCGGCCTAAGTTAGCACCCAAATACCATCCTCTCAATAAGAACTGGAGTTTTTTGATAAGTCGAGGCTTCCATGTGCAAACCTAAGGAGCACGAAATCAAGGTAAAGTTGATCAAACTGAACCTGTTTAGAAGTTGGACTCCTACTTCCACCTACTATTTCACTTATTACTCAATGATGCAGGGAACAATATTCTCTCGGAGTACTCAATGTATTGAGGTGATGGTAGCAAAGCTGGCCCCTGCTCGCTACCTCGCTGCTGTGACGTTAGGCTGGTGTCAGAGTCCGCGATCCGTCGCAGGTTTCGCTGATTTTCGCGATTTGCGCGATTCACGCGACGGGTCACGGAAATCACAAGTGCCCGATCAATACTGCAAGGTGTTCTCCAATCCTGCCGCCACTTCTGCTTGATAGTGATGGCTGAATGACGACTGCTCATGATTCCACTTGTTTCATATTCAGTGTTTCAAATGTTCAAATGGGGCACTTGCAATTTTTGCGATCCGTCGCAGGTTTCGCGCAAATCGCGAAATCGCTGAATCGCGGAATCGCGAAAATCAGCGAAACCTGCGACGGATCGCGGACTCTGACACCAGCCTTACCAACACGCGAACGCGTCCACACCACCGGTGAGCTTTTCCATGGAGCCCAGAGAGAATGTTCGTTCCGAAGAATGCCAACACGGCGATATAAGAGAAATACAGAAATAGTTGCAGTCTAGATAGAGATTGGCGTGGGATTACTTCCTTTGATTAGAGCAAAAAATTTTGGACAAACTACCAAAAGTCATGATGAAAGCACCAGGATAGATGAGGGTGCAGTCATACTTTGCGACCGTCCTGCAATTCGAATGTGCAGTAGATACCTATCGATTAAGGCTGGAGTCAAAGTCTGCGATATCGCGCGCTTCGCAGAAATCGCAAGTGTCCCGATCAATGCTGCGAGGTGCTGCTCTAATCTCGCCGCCAATTCTGCATGGTTGTGGATTAATTGACAGCTGTTCATGATTCCACTTGTTTCATGTTCAATGTTTCAAATGCTAATTCATATCATGATTCTACTCTAGTTTTTTTTTCAATTTTTAGGGACGAAACATCGCACGAAATCTCTGCATAAATCCTTCACGCCTTCATGAAGTGTTGTTTTGTGCATTTCTAAGCCTTCATGTTATGAACTCAAAAGATTCGAAATAGAGAAGAGGACATTTACGTTGGGGTGAATTATACCCACTCCTAGAATCCATGCTGAGTTTCGTCCCTGAAAAAAATTAGAGTAGA